CTCCCATTTGCAACAACATGGATGGAGCTAGAGGGTATTATGCTCAGTGAAATAAGCCAGGCGGAGAAAGACAAGTACCAAATGATTTCACTCATCTGTGGAGTATAAGAACAAAGAAAAACTGAAGGAACAAAACAGCAGCAGAATCAGAGAACCCAAGAATGGACTAACAGTTACCAAAGGGAAAGGGACTGGGGAGGATGGGTGGGAAGGGAGGGATAAGGGCGGGGAAAAAGAAAGGGGTCCTTACGATTAGCATGTATAATGTGGTGGGGGGGCATAGGGAGGGCTGTACAACACAGAGAAGACAAGTAGTGATTTTATAGCATCTTACTACGCTGATGGACAGTGACTGTAATGGGGTTTGTAGGGGGGACTTGTTGAAGTGGGGAGCCTAGTAAACATAATGTTCTTCATGAATTGTAGATTAATGATAACAAAATTTTTTTAAAAAAGAGGAAAATTTTGGCACAAGCTAGAATATGGATAAACCTTGAAGACATTATGCTAAGTGAAATAAGCCAGTCACAAAAGGAGTAATATATATGATTCCCCTTATATAAGGGTCCTAGAGTAGTCAAATCCATAGAGACAGAAAGGTTCCCAGGGGCTGGAAGGGAGGGGTTAATGTTTAAAGGGTACAAAGTTTAATTTAGGAAGATGAAAAAGTTCTGGAGATAGATGGTGGTTAAGGTTGCACAACAATATGAATATATTTAATGTCATAGAATTGTCCAACTAAAAATAGTTAAAATGGTAAATTTTATGTTGGGCACATTTTACCACAATAAAAAAAATTAGAATTGAAGATTAGCAATAATGAATGGATGAAATGTCAAAATTAGGAAGAACTCAAATGGCCAAAAATAGGGGAACAGGAATGGTTTTTTTAATTATATAACCCACTCAGTAGGATATTTATGTATCCAGTAACATTTACTGATGGTGGCAACATGGAATATGATACAGTGTTAAGTGGGAAGGGGATAAAGCTGTCACATATGATTACTGCAGCTATAAGTAAATCTAGCTTAAGGGAAAATCTAAAAAGGAATATCAAAATGCTTTAAAATTTTGAATTGAAGGGTGAGATGATCTGCTTTTATTTGGTCTATTTTCCAATTATTTTTGAAAGTGGATATAATAATCTTTAATGGGAAATAAATTTATAATCAAACCAAAAAGATGAAACAAATAAAAGTTTTTAAATAATCATTATTAAAACCCCTTTTATTTATTATCAGAGAAATCTGGAATGCTGGATATTTTTGAGGTTTTTGCAAAGTGGTATACATATCTAGGTTGGGAGTAATTGAGGTTCCTAGATAGAAAACCCTGTTCAACTCAATGCTTCAAAAGCCATTTCGAGATTTGGCACTGAACAGAAGACACAAAAGATGAACATCTCCAAATAAAGAAACTTTTCAAGTACTGTCATGTATTTGACACTGGGCAAAGGCAACTTCCCAGAGGCAGAAACTGCATGTTCAGAGAGATCCTTATCTAGGTTAAAGCAGACTTACAGCTTGGCAAGTAGAGCCTTTAAAAGTGCTTTCCAAAATGAGGCTGTGATTGATTCTAAGTGGATTACTGTTAAAACTAATTCTTCATCCATCTTTCTCAGGCTTACTTGTTGTCATTAGCTCATTGTTTTCCAGCAAGTTTCCCCTCTAAGCCCCACCTCAGCACCCCCACAGAGAAAGAGAAATAGAGCAAGAAGGAACTGGGTTCAGATGGTGACATCTGCTCTTCAGAAAGGACAGGCAGAGGGCAAGAGAAGGTGGGCCACTGTGTTAAAGAGCAGAAACTGTAGCCACACCTCAGGTTTCTCAGCTCCTTTACAAACACACCACAACTTCCCATATATAGCAGCTCACCGTAGTCAGCTTCCCAGAGAAGGGGAGCAAGGGGGACCTGTCAAAGATGCGCCTTAAGGCACCCAGGAAACCAAGTTCCCAGGGTTCTAACATCTGCCTGCCTTTCTGATGGGTCCTACTGCTGCAAGTCCTGTAAGAGCCCTTATCCAATCTGTCTTCCAGAGCCAATGTCCACAGCAGACATTACCACAGATATTCTCATAAATTTAGTCCATGGTGGTCTTGGTTTGTGGCTTGAAGAAGCTTTCCAAAGTCCCAGTTTTCTTCTTTTCTACCCTCTGGCACTTTGGACCATCCTGTTCTCTCATCAATTCTAGGTGGTTCGAGATCAGATCTCTCACTGCACAGTGAAATTGCGGCAGACCACAGGTCTCATGGAGTACTGCCTGGAGGTGATTAAGGAAAATGATCCTAGTGGCTTTTTGCAGGTAGGTGTCCTCTAGCTTCTGTTTCAGACCCTCAATGTCCCATGATACTGAATCTCTGACACCAAGGCAACTCCCAACAGCCACGGCTGGGTCCCTCCATGATGAAACCCACTTCCACACTGTGATGTATACATGGGTGCCTTCAAAACCCCAATGACATCCCAGAAGTCTGCCACTATGTGCTACAAGATTGAGAAGTACATGGGCTTATTTTTATTTGCTTTTGTTCATGTTTAATCATGAAAACATAATTTCCTATAAGTTTCTGCAAAGCAAAGTTATTGCTTGCCTTAAGTTCCATCCTTTTCCACTAATATCTTGGACAGTTTTGCCAGCTAGAAATGTCTAAGTATGCAAGGTTTCTACCTTCTTGACACCTCCAAGTAGCCAGTAAGTCAGTGATTTCCTAAATGGCCAATAAGTCAGTGCTTCCCTAAACAAAGTGAAATTTTTTCATTCCTTGGATGTCTCATGATTTCTTCAGTGTTGTTTTAGTGAGATGCTCTGGTGTCAGCTGAATTTTAGTTAAGTTTTGATCCCCATGATTAAGGGACGTTTTATTAAGAAATATATTGATCCTTTCCAACTCACATTCTACCAGACTGGCTGAGTGAAAGAGGGAGACTAAATATAAGAAATGAAAGAGTTTTCTACTGAAGAATAAAGTGATAATATGAAGATAATGTGCTTAAAGTGTACAAAATTCTATTTTACAGATTACCATATGCAGCCTCTCTAAACTATTTTGCAAAAGTCATTCCCCAGTGTTGATAGGACACCACACCTTATATTAGGAACTTAGGGTTGTTGGTTCCAGTAGGATTAACCCCAATCTCCAACATATTAAATTGGGGGCTTTTAATCAGTCATAAATAGCATGGTCGTATATCCAGGTTTGCCTATTAGAGCAACTAACAGCTGCTAGTTATTTTTAATGCCCCTCTCTAACTCATAAAAGCATCCAGATTTGCAATAAAAATTATGGGTCACCCTGGACATAACCAGCTCCTCACATGGAGATAGGGAAGGGTGTGAGTTCCAAAGCCATTGGTGATAACACTCCAGGTGAGTCAAGGAATAGTATTCTGTGTCCAGTGTAGTGTTGCATTTCTTAGGCTGTGGTCTTTGATATGATTAGATCTCTGACGCCCTCATAAGGAGAGTGCACCTGACTGAGGATCAGTGGGGAAAAGGCACACTCACTCCCAGGATGACCACAGACTTCGACTTGAGTCTGGACAACAGCCCTCTGCTGCAATCCATTCACCAGCTCGACTTCGTGCAGATGAAAGGTACGTGCCTGTGTCCACCCAGTCATATAGCAACATCCCAAGTGGACGCTGGTGCTTGAAGCAAGATCGAGACTGCATGCCACATTGCAGCAAACAAAAGACAGCTGCCAGGTTGATAAATGTGGAAAAGTAAATACACTTCTGGATAAGGTTACAAAAATCTGGAGTTTAGAGTGGCTCTTACCATATAATGGAAAAGTACCCTTGTAGCCATGTGACCGACATCTTAGAAAGTCAGATAAACTCAATGCTTGCCTGTTTGAGAGTATTAGAGATTTCACAAACCCAGCATTGGGGAATAGCTGAAATAAAAGGAGATAGGGGAAGAGAGCATCGCTGCATGTAAATAAATTATTGATTCAGAAAGTAATCTGGGAATATTGATATAAATTAAGGGAGTTGACTGCTTCCACCTCAATAGTGAGCAAATAGTTGAGTATGAATTAGTGGGAGTTTGAGAGGATCAGAGTTGACTTGCCAATACTGGTCAGGAAAATTTGAGCCTGGATACAGAAGGAAAATGAAAATTGGAAATAAACTTTAACTTGTAAATTTTTAAATGTTTTGGTTTATGTGACTAAGGGATATGGCAAGATTTCATTGAGATTTTTAGGTGACTTAAGCAAAGGCAAGTATTTAATATTATCTGGAGGAAAATAACTCTTTCAAAGAAAAATAAAAATTCAAGCCAACCATGCAATGATATTTTTATGGCAGCATAAGTATTACCTATTTAAAAAGTATTACTGATTTTTAAACTTTTTATTTTGAAGTAATTATATATTCAAAGGAAGTTGCAAAATAGTAAGAAGAAATCCCTTGTACCCTTCATCCAGTTTTCATCAATGGTTACAGCTTGCATAACTATCATATAATATCAAAACGAGGAAGCCAACATCAGTATAGCGTATGGGTGTAGTTCTATGCCATTTTGTCCCTTGTGTTCATTTATAGAGCCCCCACTGCAATCACGATACAGAACCATTACATCACCACAAAGGTCTCCCTTGTGCTACCCCTTTATAGTCACACCCACACCTCACCCCTCTACCATTGCCAATCCCTACCAACTGCTAATCTGTTCTTCATCTCTATAATTTTGTCATTTTCTGATATTTTCTAAAACTGAAGAAATTGATTTGCTCTTTGCTTCTCCCAGTATAAGCATCCATGTAATAAATGACACAGTATTCAGTGCTTTAAATTTTTTGTTTCTTAAGAAACATCCACATGCTTCCTTTTACCAGACAGAACACTATAACCCAGGAAGTTTTAGGGCTACATCCTTATGGCTTACATCACCCAGTTAAACTCATCCCTGTACCTGGTACATGTACTTCTCTCATCCTTTTAGTGGATTTTTGCTCTCTTTTATTTTCAGTTTTCTTATTTTTCTTGTTTTGTTTAGTATGTATTGCTTTGGGGTAATGCCTTAATTAATTTTTGAAGTAAGCAGTATATAGATCGTATATAAAAATGCTTTTCTGCAGTAACAAAAATGTTTATTATTTATTGACTGCTTACCAAACCAGACACTCTCCTGAGTGCTTTGCATAGATTGACTCATTTTATTCTCACCTAGTAAGCAATTGAGGAATCTGAGGCACAGCTGCCTGAGTTCACGCAGCTAGTGAATGACAGGGCTGGGCTTCCAACCAGGGAGAAGGGGGTCCAGAACCAACACCTGCAACTTCCAGTTTGTGCTACGAAGTTAGTGCCTTTAAGCGGTTTCTTCAAGGAATAACTGAATTCTTCCCTTAAACTTAAGAAATTTCTTTTTTTGTTGCAGCAATTCTCTCTTGCCATTTAAAAGTGTTTCTTTAACACCTACATGGTGGCCTGTGAAATAGAGCCATCCAAGTATATAGAACCCAGGTAAATCCTCCTTGGTCAGCCTCTCTCTGTACCCAATTCTTTCAATGAGGTAGAATCAATAAAAGGTTATGTCACAACTAGCTCAGAGGACAAAATATGTCATACAAGGGCAATGTAAGTGCTTTTAGTGGAGGAGAAAAAAGAAGAGCCAACCCAATTAGCCTTGGTGTTGGGGTAGGAGGAGAGGCAGGTAGAGGAGAAAAAGCCTCAGGGCTTTGAAATCCTTTCAGCAGCTGGCATATTACTCTCCTCCCGAGTCATGTTCATCTGCCCATTGTGGCATCCAGGGCAGTTGGCAGAATGGTAACAATTGTGTTGGAGTGAAGAGGCACCTCCTCTGGTGTGGGAACTGCAAGTTCACATGTGCTGTGCACCACAGACTGAATCCCTCAAGCATTGACACTAAGCCATTTAGGGCTGCCTGCAGAAATAAGCATGGACACGGCTGTGTGCACAAGCCATTAAAGTCTGTACACCGAGCAGAGGATGCCAACCACACTGAAGGTCAAAATGCAGAACGTTCTCACAGCAAAAATTCACCTGGAAGACAAAATTATCCAGAGCAGTAATTTATGAAGTTAATTTTAATAGGTCATTTTGTATGAGACTGGAGTATTCCATTTTCCTTTTCTTTTTAACGCTATCTTAATTTAATTTACTGCTGATTAGTGTCCCTATGCAGTTAATTAATATGCCTTGCTTTGTGTTCATTAAATTTAATTAATTCAGTGAGAGTCCTGTCCTCTTTAGAATCTGAATAATTTTTGTCTGTCAGATACTTTTGATAGAAAGAAAAAGATAAAAGGTCATGATGCAATAGAACTTGACTGGCTATAGTTAAGACTTCTCCTACTGGCCCCTTTGATATCTGTTAACACACACACAACTGTGCCTGGTGTAATGTTAGACTGTTGTTTTTTAGGTTTTTTTTTAAGGTATCATTGATATGCACTCTTATAAAGGTTTCACATGAAAAGCAATGTGGTTACTACATTCACCCATATTATCGAGTCCCCCCATGCCCCATTGCAGTCACTGAGACTGGTTTTTTAGGATATTCTTAGTTTAATAATCTGTTTTCACAGCCTGTCAGTAAAAATAGTTCAAGAAACTACACCCCAAAATCCATATACAAATGGCCAAAATTTGAGTAGCATTCAGAATGATGTTAAAGTAACTATCTGACCTCTGAAACTAACAATACATGTAGTTAAATGTTTTATAATTATGCTAAATCGATTACAAATATTCTCAAAATTACTTAAAATATGCATGTAAATTTTTGACTCAAACTGACAACTAAAATAATCTGTTTACTTCTTGACTCAAGATTTTAGCATCTCTTTGATTTTGAAATTTTATCTCAGATGCCTTTTTTTCCCTTGATATCAAAGAAGATTGGTCTGTTGTGTTTTTTAAATGTTTCCACTTAGCCCAGCTACTATCCAGAAAGACTATACTGCTCTAAAATATTCTTTTATTAGCTAAGGATTTAACTGATCTGCTCTTTCTGATTCTACATCATCGTCAAACAATTGTGATCTAAGCTTTGGCCAAATATCCCTAAATTGTAATGATATGCTTTCTGGTTGCGTTTTGATTAGAAAATCATCTTACCCTTTTCCCAGATGCTAGAGCATGATGTTTGATTTCTTGGATTTTTCTTTTATAGAAAACAACAAACTAAGCTTTGTTTTCTATTTTTATTAGAGACTAATTAAAATGTTTTTCTCTTTATTCTAATTTGGGAGTCAACTTCTTCCCAAGTCATGGGAAGGAAATTTTAAGATTCTTTTTCTAGTCCATCAAGGACTGTGCTGTTTTGCTTAGAGTAGATTTCAGATACCTACCCACCTCCTCCCAGAAAAATATTACCCCGAAATTGCCTAAATACATAATATGTCCCAAGATTCATGAGTCAGTGCCTGAATAAAACACTAGTGTATTCATTCTGAACCAGGATCAAACAGTTAACTCATGTTAAATGTAAGAGCCCTGAGTATGTACCAAAGTATGTACCACAGGCAAGGGCAGTGTGATCCAAACTGAGCCTCTATATGTCATGGAGAAAGAGCGCCCAGAGGCTTGGCAGTGATGAGGGTGAACACACGCTGACTGGCAAGTAATCCATTCATGGTTTGGGGTCTTGAAATGCATGCCTCAAAACCTGTGTTCGTGTTTATCTTTAACAGTGTACTACTGATCATTTTCCAGACATGGCTTGTTCCTCTAAAGTCTAAACTTCCCTCAGATTCTCCTTGTATGGTTCAGCAACCATAAAAAAGGAATGACAGTCCATAAAGGAACCTTCTGAGAAGTTGATCAGTAGAACTGAATTCCCAACCACCATAGCTCTTATGGCAACATACTTCATTCATCTATACCAGCAATCCTTGGGAAGCTTCATCATCCACACTATAGGAACCAAAGAGAAACATGCCTTTTGGAATTAAGCATGGGGTCTTCCCTCCAGTACACTATTACTAAACAACAAACTGGAGAGGCAGTATAAGGTAATGTAAGCACGCAGCCACTGGAGGCAGCCTCCTTGGCTTCATATCCGAGTTCTGCCACTTAGTAGCCATGGAACCTTTCTGTGTTTCAGTTTCCTCATCTACAAAATAGAGATAATAATAGTACCTGTTATTGTGGGGTTGTTGTGAAAATTAAACAACGGAATAAATGTAAAACTTCTCACCACACTGTCAGGCATTCAGTAAGTGCTCAGAAATACCACCATGAGGCCAACTTCTTTTTCTCACATGCCCTCACCACAGGGCTGTTACCTTTCACAGAAGAATTCTGAATTGTTTTAAGTGTTCACAGACTGAAGGAGTAGAGAAAAAAGATCAAACAAATATGAAAAATGTGAGATATAATGTGACCTAGATTAGCCTTAAAAAGGTAAGACACTTGAAAATTTTGGTATAAGAACACATTGTTGCAGAATTTACTTTTGAGCTGAGGCTCCACCAAACCCCCTTCAAGAAAGTCAGTAAGAACAATTCCCCCCCTTGAATCTAAGAGGAGAAATCTTAGCCTGAAGCTTGATTTTACAGGCTAACAGTGTGCTAAGTAGTAGAATTCTGATCAGGTCAGGAGAAACTAGTTCTTTAGGAAAAACAAAGATATCCAAGAATGTTCATGAAAGTGTCAAGATTAAGATAGCTATGGGAGCCCCAATGGCAGGAGGTTCAATAAAATAAAATGTTCTCTCTTAGAGTTTGGCCCAGGAACTGTGATGCTTCCATTTCCAAAACACAAATGATAAACTAATTTGAAAATACTTTGGATTCTTGTAGCCCATTTACTTTAAACTTAATAAAGTAAAATAGGGTGACCTAATACCCATCATAAAATCTGTTTTTCTAAAATGTCAGCTTTAGTCTTTACTAATGAGGCTATAACTTCATCACATTTGCTTTTTATAAACAATATCACTTTGGGATAAATAAGTAAAAAGAAAAAATAATTCTGAACACACTGAGAAATAGATTTAGACATGCAAATATCTCTAGACCTTCCTTCATTTTCATTCCCCAACCCCACTTTGCTTTTTTGTTTGCATATTTGTTTAAATCTGGGACAGTATTAAGATCTGAAGATTAGTGAGTGGTTAGACATTTTTCTATCCTTTTGTTCTTTTAAAGTGTATCCACTGAGAACTTATAAATGAAATTCACACATTTTAATTACACATGATACATGTACTTCAATTAATCTTTTAATTACTCCTATGTCTATACAAGGAAATTTTAGTTTCTTGCCAGAGACATATTGCAAGCATTTGTATGATTCAAGTTGAAACCATTTTGTGATCTTATTCTTTGATTTTAAAGGTGAAATGTAGATTTTTCCTGAAACATGAAAAAAGGGAAAATGAAGACTGATAGAGGAGCTAATGAAATAAGAGTCCAAGTAATTGTTGTTTTATGGTAGCATCCAACTAAGTTAGGACAAAGAGCAAATATCCCAGGGAGAATCATTCCATGTCTCTAGAAGCCCTTTGAAGAATGGCTTGCTTAAGCTTGTCACATTCCATTCCACAATTAATATGTTAAAATGTATTCTTTTATAAGGAAAACATTCTAAATCACAAGTAAATTAACTCTACAATCACAACTTCTAGATGACGACAGCTTATGTGTAGATGATCATTAGAATCATTAGGAGTTAAGTCTTCTGTCTCCTCTTTTTTCCATCCTGCCCGGCCATCTGTTGAACAAAGCAATGAATTTATTTCCTTCCCTCCAAATTCAGATGTTCTGGGGCCTCTGAAGCTACAGAAGCCATTGTTTTCTGAAAAGATTCCACCTGAACTCTATGCCATTGAAATCTGAAACATGATTTCCTTTCCTCTACTGATAACCTCCAATTAACTGGTCATTATTTTTATTTAATTATGTTTTATCTAGTAACTCAGGCATGGTTTTCTTGTACATAGTCTTTTCTTAAGCATAAGATAATTGACCTGCTTCACCTTCACATCTCTTATGTTATAGTCTCTAGCTTTGTTTTCTAGGTTATCCACCATAGACCCTGTTTCCTAAACTGCTGTTTAACTGGGGTGACCAGCAAGGAACAGAATTAATTCAATGCATGACACACAAGAGTCCAGTATTGCTACAGCATACCAGGTGTTCCACAATTAACATTTGTTCATCTAAATGTCCCTGGATGTGGTCCAAACTGTTCTCTCCTATTGTTAAATATCACAAAAAGAAATTAATGCTTTGGTGCTAAAAAGAAAATTTAAGCAGTTAATAAAAACTTTGTTCCCAGATACATATATTGAGTTCATACATTAGGAACTGGGATTATTTGTTACCTAACATTAATATGTTTGTGTGTCTGAAGGTCCAACTAATCTGCAGTTTTAAGTAGTACAGAAGACTCTCAGCCTAAAGTGGGGCAGACATGGTGACTAGTAACACCATGAGAGTCTCACAAATCATGAAAACACCTTGACCCTCCTGGGCTGTACCCATTTGCTCCCACATACCTTCCAAGCTCACAGTTGAGTGGTTGAGGCCTGCTGAAAGTTAACTTGAACTAGTGCTATTTTGAAGGTATAACTACCTTGAATGAATGAGGTCAAGTTCCTCAGAAGTATCAAAACTGAGAAATCACTGTGTCACTTGGTACCAATTTTTCAAAACTCCACTGTTAGGGCAACTTATGTGCACAAGACTTTGAGTAGATTTCACTGGTTTTTTAAAAATGATATTACTCAGAACAGGCAGTTCCAAGTTTATAAACTGGGGCTTAAGGCTCAGAATAAATTTTACAGTAAATTTATCAGCCCTGTTACATAGGTTAAGCAGACTTTAGTGGGCTAGACTGGAAATCCATCCCCCATGTAAAACACTTCCCTTAGGAATGATGTCTTCAGTGCTCAAGGGGGGGGAGGACAGAGCAGTTGTCTCACTTCCAGCTAAGGTAGGAAGTGCCCCCATGTCCCCATGGACTTGGAAAAAAGTCAGGACAGTAGCTCAGGAACCAGTCCCACTCCTGGAGGCTCTAAGAAGGACCCTATTCAGGTCCCCCATGCACCCTGGGCTAACCACTCAGTCTAGCCATGTGTTTATCAGGAGGATGCTTATCATTCCAAGATACTGAAATGTTTGCAATTCAACAGAAGCCAGTGTTACACTAATTTCTGTTTAGCTTCCTCTCCAGTCCCAGCAACCCCCATCCTACAGCTGGAGGAGTGTTGCACCCACAACAACAGTGCTACGCTGTCCTGGAAGCAACCGCCTCTGTCCGTGGTGCCCGCCGAAGGATACATTCTGGAGCTGGACGATGGCAGTGGTGGTCAGTTCCGGGTAAGTAGAGATCCTACTACTTGTTAACCAAAACCAGTAACTACCTCAGAGGGCCCGCCATGGAGTCTCAGGCCTGGCTTTCCCACCTCTCCTGAGGACACATCTTCCTTGTCGGGCCTACCTGCCCTTCTGCTGAGCCTTGCTTTCTCCTTGTACCATCAAAAATGGACAAGGAGGTTCTGAAGAGGAACTGCCCTACCCTCAAGAGAAAGTGTGTGCAGCACCGCGAGCTCTGGCACCAGACGCCTGCATCTAGACTCTGCCACTTGCCTGACTGTGCCCATTTCTTGCCTCTCTGAACCTTCAGGTCTTCATTTGTAAAATGGGGATGATAAGATTGTGTATCAATGATACGTCAATAAAAAATAAATTTTAAAAGGGGCATTACTATTAGCAGACCTAATGTAGGAGGGGCACTACAAGTAGTAATTCTACAGCATCTTACTACGCTGATGGACAGTCACTGTAATGGGTATGTAGGGGGGACTTGATGATGGGGGGAGTCTAGTAAACATAATGTTGCTCATGTAATTGTAGATTAATGATACCAAAAAAATTATTTTCCTAAGAGAGGTGGAAAGAGCAGATTTCATAAATGACACTATACTTTAAAATTGCTAAAGGTGGAGCAGGTAATTTAAAAACCTTTCAATGAATTTTTTTCAAGTTGGAACATTTGAAAAAAGCTGTAGATCCCCCACTTCTAAAAGCTATACAGAACTATCTGAAATATATATGTATATGTGCTAACTTTTAAAAAAATAAAAATAAAAACAAATAAATTTTAAAAAAAGAGCAATAGGATGCCCTGGTTGTGTTTTACACATGAGCACAACTTGATTATATTTGAACTATGAAATGGTCATTTTTGCTTTCTTGACCCTGTGGATGTTATGAAATAAATAATATATACGAACAGACCTCTTTAGTAGACTATATCATCATTCCTGGAATAAACCTGACCTGAACACAGCACTTATTCTTTAAATATACTCTTAGATTTTATTTAGATTTAATACCTAGTACTCTTGTACCCACATTCATTCATTAAATTAGTCTACAGTTTTTTTGCTTGCTTGTTTGGGTGATGTCTCTTTTTGTCTCAGGATCATGCTAGTATTGTAAACTAACATAAAATTCTCTGCTGTCCAACAACAAAAAAAAGGTGGGGATGATAATAATAACATGTACCTTATGCATTGTTGTTAGACATCAGTTAGATTGTACATACAAAATTCTCAGCATGCTGCAGTGTATCCCACCAGAGAGTGTCATTTTAAGGTTGTGCTTTGAATAAAAATTATTTTCACTCATTACATCAGCATAATGTTACAAAGTATATGGCTAAAGAGGGAGGCAAATGCCTCACCCATGCTAAAGATGCATTATGCTGGGATTTATTTTAAGCCTTTGAAATGTCATTCTTCCTCTCTTCCCTGTTTCCTCCCCCTTCCCTCTGTATGGTGATGAAAACCTAAACTCCTATGGCTTTCAATAGAGTTATAAACATGACATAGAGATCACCCTCATATTCTCAAACCTGTTTTTTACAAATCATCCTGATGGATAAAGAGCTCAATATTTGTAATGTAGTATATAAATGCCAAGTTAATAATAACCATAATGCTAATGATAAGCCCCCTGTTTTAATTTTTTAAGTCCTAGCTGCTACCTACAGTTTGTCAAGTCACCAGGCCCACGCTAAATACAAGATGCTCTGCTAATCAGTTTACACATATGACTTCAAATAATCCTCATACCTCATAAGGAGGGTATTATTGTCCACATTTTACAGATAAGGAAACTGAGGCTAAAAGAGGCCTATTAAATGGTACTCACGGGATTCAAACCTGGATCAGGCTGATGCAAAAGCACTTGCCCCTAACCACTAGGAAACAGTGCCTCCCTTACCACTCACAAGGATTCACATTAAATGGTGGCCTCTTATCTGTTGACCCTCAGGAAGTATATGTTGGAAAGGAGACAATGTGCACTGTGGATGGCCTTCACTTCAACAGCACATACAACGCTCGCATCAAGGCCTTCAACAAAACAGGAGTCAGCCAGTACAGCAAGACGCTGGTCCTCCAAACGTCTGAGGGTAAGGCCCTTCAGCAGTATCCCTCAGAGCGAGAACTGCGAGGCATCTAAATGGCCGGCAAGCCCGGAGGTAACCCCACCACTGCCCACATTCTGAAGTGTTTCCATGACTTGCTCTGCATTCCAGCACAGAGCCACGGTGCCTCTCCTGCCATTAGAGAGCCCGTTGTTTGTGGATGTGATCAAACCAAAGAGTCCACAGCAGCAATTCAAATGGCTTGGGCCGTCGGCTTCCTTTGATAACCCTCTAAATAAGCTGCGGTTGAAGAAGCTGAAAGATGAAGGCCTGAATGTCCCCCCGGTGTGTGAGACAAACATATCTGGGCTCTAGGGCAGGCTCCCATTCTCCATGATACACATCCTTTGCCAGCTTTGCCCAGATGATTCTAAATTGCTTTGTAGTGCTTGCTTCTGAGGGTGGAGCTGAGGTGCTTTTCAGCTGTGGATTTGTCTGACTGAGCGTGTTTGCCGTGGGTGTGGGGAGCTAGAGCTGTTCAGAGAGGGCCTGTGGGCCACTCCTGGCTTACCCAGCGTGGACCGCTTCCATTTCACACCCACAGCTGAGGCTGGCGGCACCAGGACTGAGGCTTCCTGTTGGCACCACGCAGGAAATGACCAACAACGCCGCATTTCCCTCACCATGTTCACCTTTGCCAGTCCCACTAGGCTGGGTTAGGCCACCTGAGGCCACGGCGCAAGGTCACTCTCTAGAGAGCTGTCACATCCTGGCTATCCTGTAACTCGGCCGGTCATCAAAAACAAGCCATCTGTCTCAGAGGAGGGGCTTGAGTTTGATGGCTGGGTATAACCTCTGAGACTTTTAACATCTTCATTTTAAAAGTAACTGCAAACACAGGAAATTAAACCTCTGAAGAGGTGTTTGTGGTCATTGCCAGAGCATTTTCAGACCTGGGTGTCATTTTAATCATCTAAGTCACGCCTACCCCACTGGCAATCTCCATAACTTCCCTCTGCAGCACTAATTGTGTTGATTTTGTTCAGATTCAATATGTTAGCTTAAAGAACTGTGGTGGTGTTTTTTCCCACTTCCCACAAATCTGGGCACGTGCCAGCTACCCCTAAAATGGTTCACATGGTTAAAAACAAGCACAACTTCAAATCCCACAGCAAAGCTGAGAGACCCCTGGTTGTGAGCACCATGCTTGCAGAGCAATTGTAAGGCTCTGAATGATACTAATCAAAGTTGAAGGGAAAACACCCACATGACCTGTTACATTTGGGTTAAAGGGGGTGTGGCATCTAGAGCCTCCCCCAGAATGATCATTTTAGCAACTTCTGTCTGGGATGACCTATCAGCTTGAGAGCAATTGCCTCTTTTCCCAAAGTACCATCCTAAAGGCAAAGCCCTTCCCTAGTTTCCTAGACGCAATGCAGCAGGCTCTCCATGGTAATGGCCTCATTCCCATGCGTGTACAAGCCGGTTTGATTGAGGAGTGAAGTGCATGCCATCAGAGCAGGGAGACAATTTGCAGCAATGTTGCTAATATGTGTCATCAGACCTACGGGAAAAATATTTCTGTTCATAATCCATCATGGAAATCATATTCTGCTAAAATCAGTTATTAGCATAGCAGCTGAACACTTATGTCTCTCTTTTCATCCTGCAGGAGGATGTAGTTTCTCAGTTTCTCTTAATGTTCATAAGATTATGGTGTCCAATAAATTACAGGATTGTTAACTGCTATCCTTGGTACCGCAGCCACAGAACTGGGGGTCATTTTCTAAAAGAAACTAATGGAACAAGTCCTCTTCCAACAAAGAAACTGTACTGTAGAAATTAATTTCCTCCATGAATTTTATATATTGTGTACAAATATAAGGTATGTATCTAAATACAAAGAGTACCTTATCACCATGTAGATACCAGTATCTCTGTTACTGCACAGAAGTGACTCTCATGATGAAATAAAGTTCACACCCATACTTTCTCCATAATTTTGGCTTGTTCTCTTTGTGTCTCCCTCATTCTAATTCATTCCAACAGTGAGACAAGATTTAGAATGCAAGAAAAAAATACAATGAATAGGCAACTTTTTAAGACCTGATCAAATGTAACAATAGAGAAAGACTATAGAATTAAAGAGTTATGTCTTTTTTTTTGTTTTTTTAGAAATCAGTGAGAGAAATGGCATCAACAGTTTTGATACATTAACTGAACTTATGTTCTATTAATCTTATTTCCTACAGCTTCTGGAAAGGTTTGCTTTGGAAATGTTTTTCCGTGCTGCTGCTGGGGGTGATATGGTTCATTTTGACTTCCTGCTATAACAAAATCTTTTGGTTCTTAGCAGGAGTTAATCACTTTCCAGAGTTCAGAACAGAAGGTCTATTTCACAGAAAGGTCTGATTTCATATGTGATAACATATGATAGTATTTACATGTGTTTGGTCTGACATTTAAATCACTTATCCTATTGAAATTATGAGAAAAACCTCTGCTGCCCTAAAGGTAATATTATGTAGGGGACATGAAATGTCTTCCACCTTATTATGAATTCTGATCATTTTTTTCAAAGGCAAATTTGTTTACTTCTTCATCTTTATTGGGCAGTGCCTGGTAAGTGCCTGCTGTGTGCCGTGCTGTGGGTATAAAATGTGGAACAGACATCACCCCTGCTGCCAGGAACTGATAGTCCAGGAAAAGAGACAGGCCTTAAAAAAATAGACCCACATAGTTATATACTCACAAATTATGATAAACACAATGAAAGAAGGAGATGGGACCAGGAGAAAGAGATATTTTGTATTGGGAAATTGGTCAGGAAAACATCAAAAAATAATTTAATTCATGGAAATTTAAAGAATGTGCTATTAAAAGAAAAAAGGAAAAGAACACATTATTATATGAGTTCAAGTTTGGTTAGTTTTACATAAGCGAAGTCTTCAGAGATATACTTAAGGCAATCATGTGAAAAAGGCCAACTGGGGATCTAAACCAAATTACCCTGACTTAAACAAGAAATATGACTCTAAGCCATTAAGAATTTTGATGAAATTTTAAAATAAGGTGCACAACCCTCATTGTATGTATCTTCAAGGTAACTCACTTACTAGCCATCATGGCTACGTCACAGTCTTTGAACTATCTGCAAAGGTGTGTCAGTAAAAAAACATATGTAACAGGGCTTCTGCATACATAGCTCTGGGGCTTATTCTGTGTCTGGGAGACTCTACTACTGAAAAAAAAAGTTAGACAAGGCTGAGAACAGAAGAGGAAATGTTTCCCTTTGCTTTTCCCTGTTTTCCCTCTGCATATCTAAACAGACTCTACCTTTTTCTTTTTCATGAATCTGGAAAGAAAATGAAATAGACCAAAGTAACATTCCTGGGGCTCAAATAACTCATTGTGACTATTAGCTGTCTGGAAAGAGACGGTCTCTCTCTGACTCCTCTCAGCTCTCAGAGCCAGGGAATTGCTTCATGCTGCCTCCCCAGCAGAGGTAGAGCTCACCTCACCAATCGTTCAGGGGAGTTAGAACATAAAGACAGGCACCCTCTACACAACAAATGCTCTTTAACATCAATCTCTTTGTGTTAGAAGATTCTTTCCTTGGACAAATTCTTAGGAGTGGAATAATTGGGCCAAGGAGTATAAACATTTTTAAGGCTCTCGATTTGCATTTCCAAATTACTTTCCAGATGGATTTTATACCAGAAAAATCTGAGCCATTCCATTTTTAATCACCTTAACTCTATTATTTAGAGTTTAATTTCAACAAACAAGCAACCTCTTCTAAAAAGAAATGTTTCTGAAACAGGATTTGTTAAATTTATATTTTCATAGGTATAATATACTGATTGTTGTACATCTAATAGCTACATGAAATAAGTTATAATATATTTCAGGGAAATGAACTTGATCTAAAGGGGAGGGAATACTTGACAGAGGAGAGAGAGAGAGAGAGAGAGAGAAATCCATACAGAGGCAATAACTGTACACAAGGCAAAACCTGTGTGCAAGGCAAAAACTTCGAAACCTGCATTGAGCTGACTCTGAAAAGGAAAATGCCTTCATTCAAACACTTCAATTGAGCACCTCGATTTTCTCAGGCACTCGGCTGGTCCCCCTGTTTACAAAGATGCATAAATATGGCTCTACCCTGGAGCTCATGGGCCTTACTCCTCCTCCTTCTTGAACTCCATGGCACGTGACTCAGGGTACCTAAAAACTGGTACCACCTCACCTCTCTCGAACTAAGATATCCACCTTGAAATCTAGATAGTAATCGTACAATCAAGAAGTAAGTGATAATGACCTCTGATTGACCAAAACAAAACAAAACAAAAACACAAAGTTCTGGTAGAGAAGCTCCTGGGCTGGCCACACAGCAGAGCCCTTAGTCTCCCTCAGTTCTCACTTTATGCACAATTCCACTGGGCTCATTGACCCATGTGGGAACACTACAGTGGACTAGACACTTCACATTAGAAGAGAGAAGAGAGAGAAGAAGAATTGGTGAGCAGGGACAGCAACTGGAAAAATGAGAACAGACCAAAAAAATCAAAAGAGAGCAGTTTGTGGCTTATGTTCTAATTAAGAAAATTAGTATATAATGAATTTCAGAAAGATTTCCATCTAATACACTTGAAAGTCAGTATATCATCTGGAACCCTTGGTAATAGGGTACTAGGTATACCTCAGAAAGCTTTATGGAATCACAATATAAAATAAACCAAAGAAGCTACGATGATAAACTCGACTTCATTTGTGTCAAGATTCTGAGAACTTTCTTCACTGTCCATTGAATGTTTCCACGAAAAATGACAGCAACATGAGACCTGCAAATATTTTAGGGTACTGAAATCCAGTGGAGGAATTGTATAAAAACTGTCCATTCTGTATTTTGCTATAAGATCCTAAGGAAAAGTGGGAATTCTTTTCTGTCTATCCTAAGACAGACATACAGACTTTAGGCTGCACCTCCGCACCCATTGCTAATGTGTATGCCCTTCTCCTGTCATGTTGCTGCAACACTCCAGATTTACCCAAGATATCAGTTTTCTATTGCTGCTCTAACAAAATACCACAAATTTAGTAGCTTAAGACAACACAAAATATTACCTCACAGTCTGGGAGGTCAGAATCCTAAGTGGGCTTCACTAGGCTAGCAGTGAGTAGGCATCAGCAGGGCTGCATTCCTGCAGACAGTCTAAGGAACATGCTGCTCTCTCCCCTTTTCCAGTTTATGGAAGCCATCTGTAATCCTTGGCTCATGGCTCCTTCCTCCATCTTCAAAGCCAGCAGTGTAGCATCTTCCAATCTCTTTCTGACTCTGAGCCTCCTATTTGCCCTTTATAAGGACACTTTTAATTACCAACTAGATAATCTCCCCAACCTGAGATCCTTAATGTAGTCACATCAGCAAAATTCCTTTTGTCATCCATGTAAGGTAACATATTCACAGATTCCAGAGATTATGATGTGGACATTTTTTAGCAGGCCATTATTCTGCCTACCACACTCTGGGAGGAAAGAATTGTGACCATTATTATTATCCCACTCTACATATGGAAAATTTGAGCCTTTGAGAGGTTAAGTAATATGTGAGACCTGGGCCTCTCAGCCTCCAGAACACCCAGTGGAGTGCCCTTTGAAGCTGATATTAAAAGTGCTATCTGCATTCAATGAAGAGGATGGAAAGAGAGGGAAATCTATCCTATGTTTGTTTGTTAGGTATTAAAACAAGTAGCATTGTGTAGCTGCCCCCAATGATCACCCAGAAACCCCAGCCAGAAGTAAGACTTTTAACATTTTTGAAGAATCTTGTTAGACTTTTATTAGAAAGAATAGCATTCCTGTTTTAAGGAAGAAGTGTGAGTGGCTGTCATTTCCAGCATCATATCCAAGCTCCTCAGGTCCTGTGCTTCTTTCACGTCTCTGTGTGTGCTCTGGCTCCCCACCCCCCGCCCTCCCAGCTGAGTGCTCACCTAGAGAGGACTTCCAGTTGGCAGAGGTGGGTGCTTTTGGCTGGCAGCGACGGGTAGCTGCCTGGGAAGGAAAAGGAATGTCAGAACCACATCTTCAGGGTCCTCGAAAGGCCCTACCAAATAAGGTTGGGGACTCAGAGCCCTACTTGTGTTGATACCACATAGCTGCTTATTCACACAAGCTCCCAGCCCTCTAGATCTTCACTGTGAGGAAAAGTGGGGAGAAGGTGATCAGGGTTAATCAGAGAATCAGGCTTTAGATAAGGCTGTAAGTCCCAGCACTCCCAGCAAATATTTGCTCCCAAGCATCCTCTTCATTGAATGTACACAGGAGCCATCACAACACTTTGCAGGATTGCTGTATCCATCAACCATAAAGGGGTTAGGATTCTTGAAAATATGCTTGGAAATTGTTTTCTGAAAGGGGGTGTAGAAGATGTTACCATAATACTGGAATGCCTTTTCCCCCATGAGACTGTCAGCATTACACTGCCCTTCCAAAGTGACAGCTCCTTCTCCCACATGTTGAATGAAATAACCCAGAGAATATTCGGTAGTGCCAGTGGAAGATGGCCCCAGATGGCCCCAGATGCATCTGTCCAAAATCTCTTTACAGATATTTCACAGTGAATTTGGACCAACATAAGTCTACACTCTTACTTTCTGATGTACTAAGACTCCTGAAAAGTTGTAACTTTGTCGGTGGGAAAAGAAACTCATCTGCTGTCAGAAGAAAAATAGGGAGCTTAGCTCAACCACACTCTGTGGCCAGAACCTCAAAGGGGAGGATGATGCATATGGGAAGAAAGATTCATCTTCAATACAGGGTACGGTTGGAGAATGATACTTTCATCCACACAAACCTTGGCCACCCCTGAGAGCACTGACTGGCATGTGCCCCGTGGCCTGTGGCATAAACTGTACCTTTTATACACTTCCAAGGCACGAAAGAGAAGCCATGGCCTTATAACTCCCAAAATTTTATCCACCAGGAATTGAGCCCTATCATGTCCCACCACAGCTAGAATTGTGATTTGGATGTGTCCCTTAACTCCTCTGGACTTGAGGTTTGTTTGTTGGTTTGTTTTTGGGTTCTAAAACTGTAGGCTTAAAGCAGATGACCTCTAAGTTCTTTACTATTTGTACCCCCTGGTTCTCTTCTCTGGCCTGTCTCTGCTGAAAGCTGTTCACTATTTCAGGAACTGCTATGAAAAGGCATAGACACCTCCTACCTCCTCCAAGGGTCTTAATAGATCTTAAAGGTCTGCCTGTGTACTGAAAATTCTACACTAGTAGGAAATAGTTGAGGAAGGACCATAGAAGGAAAAGTATATGGTCCACTGGAGATATTTTTTTCCTGTGCCTTTACTTTACTTTTCCTGACTCAGAGCATCAGACCCTCACCAACCCCAGAGATTATTTAGTTAGAAGAATGTGCATTTCCAGGACAAAACCCTCAATGTAGGTAAATCATACCTGAACAAATTTGGGTAGATTTAATAAAATCCAAGGTGAAAGGCATAATGATAGGTTTCAGAGCCCAGAAGAGAGATACTCTGTTCTTTTTAATCTTCACAACATGGATGATAACCCACAGAATTTCCTGAACTTTTCCATAGGACTGAATTGGATACAAGACCCTATTTTTGGTTCTGGGGAAAAGTGCTTTGCAGTTAACCCTCTGGGGAGCAGTTTAGTCTTTAGAATCTTTTGTATCTATTTGAAATGTAGGAATTTTTGGTTCTCCTGATGACCAATTCTTATAAATAATGCCATAGTATTCTCAAGTGGAGTGAAGGACTTGGTGACAAAAAGTGTGCAACTCTTCCAGAGGTGGAAGAGACTGTTCCATTTCTTCTTTTAAAAAGAGGTGTTCAAAACAGATTTTGTTTCTTACTTCTCAGCTACAATTAACGTCACACTGCAGAGAGCTTAAACTACCACCCTTCGTTGTAAATTATGTACCAGTTGGACCTAATTGTGACTTTGGATGCTTATTAGGTCATCTAATGAAACTCAGCCTCCTTCATTCCTTTGTCTCTTTTAAAATCTTCCCATCAAAAGCAAGTTATTTTTCAGCTGGTTTATGATTGAGTCAAAACTCATCTTTAATACTGCTTGTGCAATTCTTACTGACATATCTTACTTTCCTGTGCTCTGAAATGTAACCATCTTGTTGGACCAGCATGCAAGGGCTGCTTGAGTTATGAAGCTGTTCACTGCCAGACTGGGAGATAACTGAGAATTCTACCAGGGCACAAAGGAAGCTGGGCTAGCATACACTATCATAAGGAGCCTGTCACTTAGCTTTTCCTCTTTGAATTCTAAAAATAACACCTCAAAGACTGTACTTTACATTTCCAAAATATTCTGCAACATCCATAGAAATCATTAGTACTCTGTACGTGTTCATTGGAATCAGTCAAGAAATTCTATCTCCAGAAGTGTAAAAGTCTGTCAACAATATAAGACATATTTTCTCTAAATTATTATTTTTCTTATGGTCAGCTCTCCGGCCAACTTCATGTTTCCCAGATGCTCGGTTCTAATACAATGTCTGGCACATGGTAGGTTTGATGAATGTTAGCAAATATAAACAAATAAAACAAGTATGTGCAGCAAGCCTAGGAGTACCCCCACCTAGATACTCTTTTTTTGCCTCAAACCCAAAAGTCAATAAATAATAATAATTGTGGTTCTCTAGCTGGTCTTTGCTTTGAAAATTTTTGATTGCATCCTTCAAGCAGCACCCCCCACCAGCTCTGGAATCCAGCCAATCCCAGGTGGGAAGGGAAAGTAATCCAGGCAAGAGC